TGGGACGGCATTGTCCATAATTTCCTGTATTTCTTCTGTAAATAGCTCACCGAATCTGCTTTTTTCATCCATTTTTTTGGCGACGAAACTTGGCTTCCCGCGAAAAGGTTTATGCCGAGCGACATTTACTGCATTATAAATTTCCAAAATTTCAATATAAGGTCAAACGCAGGTATAATGGCTGGTAACCGAGATCCAGTGAACCAATCAGAAAGCTAGAATTGCATTATCCGAGGTTGAGTATTTAATAAATCATATTATATCGTATCGGAAATCGTAAATTTGAAATAATTCTAAATGACTGTGTGCAGGAGAACATGAACTGGACGATAGAGTTCTGTAATAATTTTCACTTCATGCTGTAAATTTTCACCCACTTGAAGAGAAACCCCTACTTCCGTCCCAAGTGTTACTACAACAGCTCTTTTCTGGAAAAAAGCTTTTTGACAACCGTGGCGGCTTAGAGCATAGCGTTCGCCATGATATGCGGCATAAGGGAAAACAAATAGCATTTAAACAAAAAAAATTTGCTCAAAAGAATGCCAAGACTTATTTGTGTTTGAAACATACCAATTCTTTGTTGCTTTTCAATAAATCCTTTGTTGCCTTTCAATACTTTCTTTTGATCAAATTTTTTTTTAATGCCAGTAGCTTCGGGATGTGTGTGTGCGTGTATATGTGTGTGTGTGTGGGGAGGGGGGGGGGGTAACCATTTCATTCAATTTCATGTTTATTATCCTCCTACCATCGAATGTTGCTCTTATGTATTGGTATGTTAACCAATGTACTCGTATATAACCTGTATATCACCGTCTGTATGTATTGGTATGTAGTCGTATGTTACTCGTATGTTATTCGTGTTTACTCGTATGTTACTCGTATTTATTATATTAGTCTATATGGCTTTGGCTTGTGGCCGATATAACGCACGCTCGGATTGGCTAAGAGCGAGATCTGAACGGTCATTATGCAGCCGTAATGCCCACGGGCCGATTACGGATTATGCAATTAGGAAGAGTTCGGCGCGTTGAAACGGTGAAAACCGATTAAAAACAGTAAGAGAAAGTAAGTAGCTAAAAGTGTAGAGATTTTTCCTTAATAAAATTTATATAGAAGTCGTTTTTGACTTACCAGCCCGTAACCTTGGCGGGCACTAGTGAAAAACAATCAAAGTTTGCCGAGTCTTAAGTAATATAAGCTTAAGGCTAAAATCACTAAGTGAAAAACACCATCGGCAGGTCTGTCGTGCATCCTGAGCAGAACACCACGAAGAAACTTATAAGTTATCATCTTAGTCACAACAATTACCGAAATATTGAACTTCGTCACAGTTCTCATCAAATAGATTCCCTCGCTTTAACGCAAGCAAGTGTAAATCAGCTTCCAGGATCATCAGATGTAAACAATCGGGCGGTTTCTGTCCGTAGCAGTGTTTCTCATAACTTCAGGAAGTTTGAGACGTTCACAAGGCTTTAAAAGTTCATCCATAAATCCCGGAATGAAGAAGGCGAAGATATGTTGTCGAAAGCGAATGCAAAGATCGATTTATTTTGAGCAGTGCATTCTGAAGCATTAGTATTTTTTCTTTTTTCACTAAAAGACCGTTGGTTTGGACTATTGTGAAGCACTTTCTTTTTTTTCTAAATGCGTTGACGTTTCGCCACAAAGTCGGTAAAACTCCCTCATCAACTTGTGGCACCATGATACTAAAATACAACCTCCTTTTTGGCTAAAGTTGTTCCACTTTTTTGAGGCTTTGACAATCACTTTTCCCGCAAAGAAATGTGTGTTTTTAACGAAATACGTAAGACAGTGGTGAAGTTCCCTGACGGCGAGGTGGAAAACGCGGGACCGGCGTGGCTAGGTGGAAAACGCGGGGCCGGGCTCTCGGGGTCCCGGGGTGTGGAAAACGCGGGGTCTGGTGGAAAACGCGGGGTCTACGTGGAAAACGCGGGATCTAAGAGGAAAACACGGGGGAAACGTTTTTTCGAGAAAATATAAATTCATATCAGTTCCGCTTCGCGGCGTGAAACGCGTTTTTCGATCAAAGCAAATTAAACATTTCGTGACAAAGAAAACCATGCAAAAGCCAACGTGCCGTGCAGCGGTTTTCTTTTGCATGGGGCGTCTATGTTATTTTTCTCAGTAACTTGCGTGTTTTTTTTTTTTTTGTACCTTTGAAAAAGAAATATTG